TTTTTTTTTTTATCTTACAATAGATAAATACCAACATGTTCTCATTTTTACACTAAACCACACAGGATTGATGCATTTGGTTAGACTACCATTCGCATTGTTAAATTCAATTTTCTCTTTATATAACTTGGTAAAATTTCATTTCTTCTAGATTCCAAAAGTACCTACAAAACCCATGCAATTTTACCATTTTTAATATACTATGGAATATCATACAAAGTAAGGTATTTCAGTGTCATGTATAACCAAGTTACTGTCAATCCAAAATTTTTTGCACATCAATAAAAAGATATCTAAGAACTTAGGAACAATATTCTCCTCACTACTGTATAAAAATAACCACAATGAGTAAGTATTTGTGTAATATTTACTCCATTGTCTCATTTCCAGAAACTGTGACAAGCTGTAAAGGTATTTCAGTGTTGGTAAGGATATCTTGATTGCTTGTGGCGGAAGTATTAACAGTTCCTATCCCTGAAACAGAACCTTGTTGAATATTTGCAAGGATAAGTGTTGTTCCTTCTGCAGTAATCAAAGTATCATCTCGCGCAGCTTCCACAGATGCCAGCACTGTATTGCTTGAGTGAATACCTTTTTTATTCTGATGTGTTTTAATGTGTTTGGCAAGATGGTCACTTCTCATAAAGCGTTTTGAACATTCTGGGCAAACAAATTTCTTCTCACCTGTGTGTGTGTTCTTCTGTGCATTTGTAATTCATCACTTCGAGTAGAGTAAATCTTTTACCACATAACATCCAGTGTAACCTTCTTTATATTGCAAACATATGGTTAATGCTCAGGAAATGTGAACTATTACTACTAGCTGAGAAATTTTAATTGCTTATAACATATCTGGCTAAAAGACCTTGCTTAAACTAAATGCAAGATTACAAACATTTGAAAGAAAAGCATGGAACAAAGTCAGAGAGTTTTAGGAATGAGAAATTGGTTGGCTGCTTTATTTAGGTTTGCATTTGCACTGATGAATTCACCAGTCTAGATGGGATCTGGTTCCTGCTTTCATTAGCTCACTAAGAATGGTCCACTCTTACAATGCTAGTCTCAGATTCAAAAGCTTGCAGAAATAGATATGCATTAACAGAAGGGAAATGTATCGACTTACTGTGAAAAATTCAATGATCACAAAATGAACTGATCATATTATGGCCAACAACACACTAGTTTATGTGTAGAACTATATGGGGACTTCTGGTGTGGTGCTGTGGGTCAGAATTGGACTGCGAACCACAAGGCTGGCAGTTCAAATCTACCAGTTGCTGCTCACAAACCCTATACAAGATCACTGAGTTGGAACTGACTCGAGGGCACTTAATAACAATATATGGGAACCAAAGTGTCATCTGAAGGCTCCTTAAGAAAAACCTAACTCCTTGCTGTGAAGTCGTTCAACTCATAGCAGCCCTGCAGGACAGAGTAGAACTGTCGCTTATGGTTTCCAAAGTTTTGATCCTTACAAAAGCAGACAGCCACATCTTTCTCCCAAAGAGCAATTGGTAGGTTTCAACCACTGACCTAATGGTAGGCAGCTGAGCACTTAACCAAGGCATCATCAGGACTCCCTGAAGTTGGCTGGGGGATTCAAATTCTTCATGCTATTTGCATCAGAAAGATGGAGTCCTAATCCTCTATGGAGAACTATAGCCATTGAGAACCTATAATATATGACTCTGAATGATTAAGTCTTTTATTATTGGTTCACCAATACTGGTCCACATTATTTTTTAAAAATATGTTAATAGCATCAGTCATTTACCACGAATCGTTTGCTTTCCTATACATCTCTGCTCCCAAACCTTGCAAATTGGCTTTAGTGTTTAAGACTAAGATGGTAAACTTATCATTGTTTTTCTAACCCTGAGAGGACCTCATGGTTGCTCTATGCTGCTGAAACAGGTGATATAACTAGAACATAGGTGATATAACTAGAACATAGATCTGGAGCCTGCCATGTGTTGGTCATGTGACTTCAGGGCTTCAGTTCCAAATTAAAATGGGGAAAGCAATGGTAACTACTGCACAGGCTTATTAAAAGGATTGAATGAGTCAATATATATGAAATGCTTAGAACAGTAACTGGCAGATGGTCAGCACTATAAATAGATTACATTAGAAAACAAATCAGTTGACTTAACCTTTAAGACTTCTAAATTCTTTTATCCTATCTAGCTCTTCTTACTCATCTTTCAGGTCTTAGCAAAAGTGTTACCTTTCTTAACACTAACACTTAGTTAGAAATGCCACTTTAAACAGCTACAAAGTTTACCTTATCACAAATATAATTACTTAAAATATTTCTTCCCACCACAGTATAAGCTCCATAAAAGCAGTCGTGGGTCCCCAATGTATTCCAGCTAACAAAAATATTTGGTACTTCATAAATACATGAATAAATAAAAATTCTGTAAGAATCACTTGGACTCTTGGTGTGGCGCTATAGGATAAACACTGGATTGCAAGGTCAGCAGTTCAGACCCACAAGTAACTCCTTGGGAACCCTATACAGGGTGGCTATGAGTTGGAACAGACATGATGGCACTTAACAACAAGAATTGCTCAGCATTTCTCAAGCTGAAAAAACTGAGGAAAAAAAATTCAAACCTCATCTTGCAGTACTGAACGATTCTTTTGGCAAACTATTGAATGACGCAGAAAGTATCAAAAGAAGATGGAAGGAATATACAGAATCACTGTACCACAAAGAAATGGTCACTGTTCAACCATTTCAAGAGGTAGCACATGATCAAGAGCCAATGGTACCGAAGTAAGTAGTCCAAGGTACACTGAAGGCATTGGCAAAGGCAGTGGATCTGGGAATTGATGGAATACAAACTGAAATCTTTCAGCAAACTGATGCAGCACTGGAGGCTGTAGCTCATCTATGCCAGGAAACTTGGAAGATAACTAGCTGGTCAACTGATTGGAAGAGAACCATATCTGTGACTATTCCAATGATAATCCAATAGAATGCAGAGATCACGGATAATATTACATGTAAGCAAAATTTTGCTAAAGATAATCCCAAAGCGGCTGCAACAGTATATTGACAGTGAACTGCCAGAGGTTTCAAGGCGGATTCAGATGAAGCCATGGAACAAGGGATACCATTGCTGATGTCTGATGGATCTTGGCAGAAAGCAGAGAATACCAGAAAGATGTTTACCTGTGCTTCAGTGACTATACAAATGCTTTTGACTGTGTGGATCATGACAAGCTATGGACAACATTGTGAAGAATGAGTATTTGGGAATGCTTAATAGTGCTTATGAAGAATCTGTACATAGACCAAAAGACAGCTGGTCAAACAGAACAATAAGACACTGAATGGTTTAAAATCAGGAGAGGTGAGCACCAGAGTTGTATTCTTTCACCATACGAACAAAAATCGTCACCACCGGACTATTAAATATAATCATAAATGATTGACGCTGTTAAAGACTTCACTTTGCTCAGATCCACTATCAGCACTCATGGAGGCAGCAGTCAAGAAATTAAACGACGTATTGCATTAGGCATATCTGCTGCACAAGACCTCTTTAAAGTGTTCAAGTTTAAGGACTAAGGTACGCCAGACTTAAGACATGGTATTTTCAATAGTCTCATATGCATGTGAAAGTTGGATAATGAATAAGGAAGACTGCAGACGAATTGATGCATTTGAATTATGGCATTGGAGAAGAATAGTAAATGTACCATGGACTTCCAGAAGAGCAAATACATCTGTGTTGGATAAAGTATATAATCAGAAATGCTCTTTATAAACCAACATGGCCAGACTTCATCCCTAATACTTCAGAAATATTGTCAGGAGGGTCCAGTCTCTGGAGAGGACATTGTGCTTTGTAAAATTGAGGGACAGTGAAAAGAAGGCGCCCCTCAACAAGACAGATTGGCACAGTGGCATCTACCATGGGCTCCAGCGTAGCAGCAAGTACGGCACAGAATCAGGAAGTGTTTTTTCCACTGTACATAGGGTTGTCATGAGTGAGAGCTAACTTGATGGCACTTAACAACAACTTAACAAAGAATGAATAGTATGATTATTTTTCCCCAAGGGTAATGTGGATGGAAGTAGAAAGAATATCTTTACCATTTATTCTTTAAAGAGCTTTATTAAAAATGTAGAAAGAATAAAAAAAGATCTTAACAATGACTTGATAGCAATTCATGCAGTGTATAGTTTTAGGCCATAAACATGCTACTGAATAAAGAGAAGAAAATGCTAGTTTCAACATAAGGAACTACGATTTTAACGGTGTTTTAAATATCAATGAATTATTCTACTTATCACACATGATAAACTCTTAAGTTTCTGGTGAAGCAATTTATAGAAGCCTTAATCTCATCTTTAGTGACAAATCCATTGAAGATTGCTCATCTTTAATGACAAATCCAGCTTATCAATATTTTATTGATAAGCCCTTCTTTGTGCTTTTAATACAAAAAGAACTTTTAATGATATTATAAAGCCAACTTTTATTATAAAGGGCTTAGGATAAGCATTGAACTGATAACTGTAAGGTTGTTATTGTTGTTAAGTGCTGTTGAGTCGGTTCCAACTCATAGTAACCCTGCTAAGATTTCCAAGGAGTGGCTGGTGAGTTTGAACCACTGATCTTGTGGTTCAAAGTGACTTTGGGTCCAGTTCTTTATCCTACAGCACCACACCAGGACTCCAACTGTCTGGTAGCCAGTTTAAACCCATTACTGCTCCCATAAAGATTTATAGCCTCGGAAACTCTATACAGGCTCTCTCTGAGTCCGAATCAACTTGGTGGCAGTGTATAGGTTTAACACTCTTACACTGTTGCTGTTAAGTAGGTTCTGACACATAGGACTTTCAAGGAGAAGCTTGTGGGTTTGAACTGATTACCATGAGGTCAGCAGTCCAGTGCTCATCCCACAGTGCCATACCAGGACCCCAATACTATTACAAACTTACCAAAATTGAAGGATTTACTCCCATCAACTTGATAAACTGTATTCTTGTCTGTCTTCCAGTAAACCTGGGTATCGTCTCCAAGTGCTTCTTCTCTAAAAGAATAAAAATATTGTACTTTAGTATAAATGGTCATAAAAATCACATTATAGACAACATAACTGAAAGAATATATATTTTGAAGACTATTTCAAAGTAATGACTTATAACACGTAAAAGAGGAAGATGCAGGAGCCATTCTTCAGGGTTCAACACTCTTAAATGGGTTTCCACTGACTTCCTACTTTCTCATATGATTCTTTTTGTGAAGCCCTTCACTCCAACCCTCCTCCCATTGCTACTCAAAAGGATAGATTCAAAATGCAATTGTGACTATGCCCCATCTACTTAAAACCCTAAAAAAACATTCAGGAAACTCTTAAAATCTTTAACATGGGTACACATGGCCTGGATCATGATGTCCATGTCTGTCTTCATTCTCATATTCCTTGAAATTCCTACAGATATTCTAAGCTCCACACAAATCTACTTGAAGGTTGTGCCCAAATAACAGATTCACTGTTTCTATGCCTGGGATGGAGTTCTGATGTGGTGCTGTAGGATAAGTACTAGATTGCTAACCATAAGGTTGGTGGTTCAAACGCACTAGCTGCTCCTTGGTAACCCTATATAGTGTCTGTATGAGTCAGAAGTGACTTGATGGCACTTAACAACAACATGCTTGGGATACCCTGGCTTTCCATTAAGGGCTTTCCTGAGATCAGCCCTCTAACTCCACACTGTCAACTCCCAAATTGGCTCACACCCATCACAATTGTTGTAATGATGTTTGTAGCTTCATCTGCACTAGACAATGAGCTCCTTTAAGGCAGGAAATTCCTCATTTGATATTCTTATTCATAAAACACCCAGTTGTGTTCAATGAAGACTTGTCAAACATAAATTCGTGATAGGAAGAGACCAGAGAAGTAAATAAAAAAATTCATTAATTTTCCTTTCCTTCTTTTTTTTCTACAGTATTTATTACTCACGTATTACCACCTGTTGTTGCTAAGTAACATCCATATAGGGTTTCTGAGAGTTCTGTTGTGGCTGTAAGAAAAGCACCAAACTGCTCTGGTAGCATAGTGGTTAGGAATTGGGCTGTAAACCGCAAGGTCAGCAGTTGGAAACTACCAGCTGTTCCGTGGGAGAAAGATGAGGCTTTCTGCTCCCGTAAAGATTTACAGCCTCAGAAACCCTGTACAGGGTCGCTATGAGTAGGAACTGACTCCACGGCACATAACAACAACAACTAACCACAGGTCGGGTAATTCAAACCTGCCAGCTGCTCCTTGGAAACCCTGTACAGGGTAGCCATAAATTGCAAAGACTTGGCAGCACCTAACAACACAGGGTTTCTGAGGAGCGGCTTGAACAGACTTTCTGGTTAACAGTCTAGTATTTATCCTCCAGCTTCACACCAGGACCCTTAGGACTCCTACTGTGACCTAATCATCTATATATTTTTTACTTTACTGTCTGTCTTCCTTTATTAGAACGTAAGCTCCCCAGAGCGATGGTCATGTCTGTTCACTGTACTAAAAAAAAAAAAAAATCAGTATTGATAAATACTTCTTGAATGAATGCATGCATGAGATCTGTGAGGGACTACTAGATGTAACGCGACAAGACAGATTAGACCTGGTCCACGAAGAGTTTACAGTAAAGAAGGGAAGACAGGTAGGTGAGTGAAATATGACTGTGATGTGTGTGAAGGGTCTCCGACTTCTCCCTAGTAGGACGAGACTAGGACAAGATGAGGGTGGGGCGGGACAGATGCCGGAAAGGACCCGGGGTTAGGTGCTAAAGGTCACTAAGCCCGCATCCCGCAGTTGGATCTTACCTGTGAGATCCTCAGATCCTTCCTACTCTCTTAAGAGAAAACCTAGGCGTCACGCAGGTATGGGGTGGAATGACGCGGCAGCGGGGCTGGGAAGGGGCAGCTGTGGAAAACCACGAGAACACACCCGTCCCGCCCCGACCTGCGCCGGGAACCGAAGTCTGAACCGGACCAAGACCTGGCGCACTTACCTGCTGTTGAGCGGCCTGACCCGCACGCAGACAGCTACAGCCCCTTCGTCCACCATCGTGCCCGATCTGGCCCCAGGGAACTGATTTAGACTTTCCGCGTCCAGAGCCTCTCCTATATTTCTCTCGGCGCACAGTCTCCCCGCCTTTAAGTTTAAAATTTCCGAAACGCCGCGTGTGATTGGACCGAGGGACGATGACGTCACAGGCTGTTCCAAGGGGCGGTGGGGGGCGTGCGCCAGGCGGGCGCGTCCTCAATTGAAGGGAGGAGGGAGGTTTTAAGTTCTGGAGGCGCATATTTGGCTGGCACTTGTGTCCTATAATATCCGAAACAGTTACCATCTGCTGAAAACCACGGAAGTGCAGAGAGCCGAATCCAAACACTGTTCGCCACCCCTTAAGAGCTCGCAATCAGTAGAAGAAATACGGCCGAGAAACAAATTTATTTTTCACTAACAAAAGAGAACTGGTGGGAGTAGTTACTTGCCGTGGAGTCCTTTCCCGATTCTTAGTGACCCAGTTTAGGGTTTTCGAAGCTGTAAATCTTTAAGGGAGCAGAAAGCCTCGTTATCTCGAGGAGCGGCTACAAGATTCGAACTAATGGCCTTCCCGTTAACAGTTCAGTTTGTAATCCGCTAAACTACCTTTAAAAAGCACACTGACACTTAAAAAAAAAAAAAAAAAAAAGATTCCAAAATTCAAGAGTTGAAACTGACTGCCCAGCCTAGAAGCACAGGAAACCCATTGCATTATGCCTCTTAATACTCTCAGTTTTTTGTTTTTTTAGTTCCTGTTTCCATTTGTTAAAGTTCTTGAGAGGCTGATTTAGGGAAGAGAATTACTGAAGACTGAGAAAGTTTAATTGGCAATGTAGTGAAACTTAGTACCTGAAAAAGAAAAGTGATTGCAAGCGAATCATTCCCAGACACAGCACGCAATTTTCATTTGCCTTAAATACATAATATTCATGGTAAAGTGAAAAAATTTTTCTTTCGGAGTTATTTCAGCCCTTTTATTTTCTGATTTAAAGAGCATCAGGATTTATCCCTAATCTCCAAAAGTATAATTTGAGTTAGGAGAAAATGATCTACCTTTCATTGCACACTATTTTATAATTATTAATATTTTAACTGGAGTATTGGTGTGGGCTGTGGGCTAATGCAAAATCTGTTTGAACCACAAGGTCGATGTTTTAAGCTTACTAACTGCTCTCTACTTGGAAACCCTACATAGGGTCATTTTGGGTGAGAATCAACTTGACAGCACTTAACGAACAACAACATTTTAATCATGCAAATATTAACTAATTTATTCCACCAATCATCTGTCAGTTTGCCTTACTGTGGTGGCTTGCATGTTGCTGTGATTCTGGAAGCTATGCCACCGATATTTTAAATACCAGCAGAGTTATCAATGGTGGACAGGTTTCAGCTGAGCTTCCAGACTGTTGTTGTTAGGTACCAACTCGTAGCAACTTTATGCACAACAGAAAGAAACACACTGCCCGATCCTGGATCCTGGGCCAATCTTGTTGCCATGCTTGAGTCCATTGATGCTGCCACTTGGCCAATCCATCTCGTTGGGGGTCTTCCTCTTTTTCTCTGACCCTCCACCTTACCAAATATGATATCCTTCTCCAGGGACTGGCCACTCTTGACAGTATGTCCAAAGTATGAGAGACAAAGTTTGGTCATCCTGGCCTCCAAGGGGCACTCTGGCACTCTGGCTGTACTTCTTCCAAAACGGATCTGTTGGTTCTATTGACACTTTCAATATTCTCCTCTAACACCATAACTCAAAGGCATCAGTTCTTCTACGGTCTTCCTTATTCACGGTCCAACTTTCGCATGCATATTAGGTTATTGAAAATATGGCTTGGGTCATGCGCACCTTAGTCCTCAAGCTGATTTCTTTGTTCTTTAACACTTTAAAACTGTCTTGTGCAGCAGATTTGCCTAATGCAATACTTCGTCTGATTTATTCACTGCTGCTTCCATGAGTGTTGATAGTTAATCCAAGAAGAATGAAGTCCTTGAAAACTTCAATCCTTTCCATTGATAAGAATGTTGTTTATTGGTCCAATGGTGAGGATTTTTGTTTTCTTTACATTGAAATGTAATTCATACCAAAGGGTGTGTTCTTTGATCAATATCAGTAAATGTTTTAAATCCTCTTCACTTTCAGCAAGGAAGGTTGTATCAGCTGCATATCACAGGTTGTTAATGAGTCTTCCTCCAATCCTGATGCCACATTTTTCTTCATAGAACCCAGCTTCCCAGATTATTTTGCTCAGCATACAGTTTGAATAAGTATGGTGAAAGAATACAACCCTATAACACACCTTTCTTAATTTTAAACCATTCAGTGTTTCCATGTTCTGGTTAAACAACTGCCTCTTGGTCCAGGTACAGATTCCTCATGAGCACAATTAAAGTTTCCAGAATACTCATACTTCGTAATGTTGTCCATAGCTTTT